TGAAAAACCAAAATAAGATGCAAAGTTTCTGCTTTCAGGGAGAACAGTGCTCAGACAGTTAAGGACAAGATATTAGTGCAGCTGGTAGGAAAACGTCAGCTTTAAACAGAATATAAAACCTCAGAACTGGTGATCCTATGAAGGAAGTCATCTACTTACAGTTTAAAGAGCTAAAATTTTTGAACTGGAAGATTTTACACATGGTTAAAAAAATTCAAGCATTTCTTGAAAAAGCAAATGACCTTACAATATTAGGCATGTATCCTCAGGCTGAAGCATGTGGCAGAATTGAGTACTGGTTGTCCCATTTGAAAAAAAATGATTGAACTTCACTAACTTACAACAATCCTCATTACTTACTGCCTTTTGCTATCGCAATGTTGGGATGGAGGATCAGTCACCATTTGATTGCCACCCTTGAGCTGTTATGTAACTGAACACTGTTTCTCAGAACCTGTGTCTCTGCCTGAGTTAGGAAAATTAAAGGTAGATCAGCATAATGGTCACCTGTTTGAAGAAAATGGGAATAAGCTTGTTAGTTAGTAACATATTCTATTTGACTTTCATTCTGAAATACTTGGGCTAAGGAAAACTATGCATTAGTCAATGGAAAATGAGGAGAGGAGGTCGGAAGAGCACTTAGCACAACATGTACTTGATGAACACTACAGGCCAGTGCACAAGACTTCAGAGGTTTCAGCACGACTGGAAAGTGAGGGTCTCTATAATTGAAAAGCAAGAGATAGCCAGAAAGAAGTCTAAACAGTCCTCGTTGACAGCCTTGAAGGAGTGTTTCTGTAGCAGTCCAAACCTACTTTGCTCTAGACAGTGAACACCAAATCAAGCCCATATGACCTATTTGATTTGGGGTTCAAATAGGATTTCCAAGTAACACACAGAATACCATGCTAAATTTAAATTTAGATCAATATGAAGTTTTTTTGAGGGGGAGGGACAATGCTTGCAATCAAACCCAGGGCCTGCTGCATGCTAGCCAAGTAATGAACTATGGGCCTGCATTCCTAGTCCACTAAATGCAAGTCATTGGAGCATAATGTTTGAGATATGCTTTTTAAAATTCATTGTTAACTGGGCATGGTAGTGCATGCCTTTAATCCCAGTACTTGGGAGGCAGAGGTGGGTGGATTTCTGTGAGATCAA